TATATATATATATATATATTCCAATTCGACATATACATAGCAGAAATAAGTTATCCTAATTTTACATTTGCAATGGTCACCGTGACAACATGACTGCCTCATCTTCCCAACCCAATCAGCCCAGAGTGTGAGGTAGCTCGTCCACGTACAGTCAATTACTGTATGGATCTGTGTATGTGGTGCATGCAGTGGTCACATCACCAAACACAACATTCAGACACATTTTTGGAAATAGGTAGCTCACGAATCGTCGCTGTTGAGAGTAATCCTCGCATCTCCAAAATCACTACTTTTCAAGGAAAAAACAAAAAAAAACAGCCTCTTGCTTCAGGTACCAATTAGCACATTTTTCAAATTAATATATTGCTATCATAACCATCAAATCATCACTCTAAAATCACTTTCATGTTGCTAAAAAAGTATGCTGTCATTGATTAAAATGGGTTAGACTCCAGCCATGCATATTAAAGGTTGTGCCGCCCAGACCAAAAACCTTTAATATGAGTAAGAATTACAATCCAGAGGTGACGAAATACCACATGGCTCTTGCTGGAAGGGTAAGTGAGGAAGAGGCAGAGCTAATAGAATTAATAGATTTGTTTTCAATCACTTTTCCAGACTTTAAACTGGTTAATAATGAGTTTTTAAAAAATCTGACAACATGGGGACACACAAATTCCTGTAAAAATATGAAATTGACCATAGTTGGACATAAGGGGTGTCCAGCAGACAGCGACAAAATACAATACAATGCATCTTAATTTATATGCCACTTTTACAACAACTGCTGCTGTAACAAAGCGCTTTCCAGAATGCAGTGTTCCCTTTCTACGAAACGGTTATTGTGGCTTCAGTCTTTTCATTTGTCACCAAAACTTTATCTATTGCGGGGTTTATCTCACTTTTGTGCATGGGTTTTCTTGTTATTTTATTTCCTTCTAAGTCGGACCAGTCAAAAAATGTCAATTTTCTGAAGGGAAATTCATTTTACAAAAACAGAGACCATGAACATTAGAGCACGTCAACCTCAAAATCCCCAATTTCCTCATCGCGGATGCGTTCGGAATTACACGTGAAGCTCACTGCTTCACTCAGACCCTTCGGAAACTCAGAACGTTGTCCAAATGCGCCATTTGTAAAAATGAAGCCCAGTGCAGGCCAGTACAAGGAAAGTAAACAGTTGAAGCACAAGTTGCTGATTATGGGCTGCATTCATAAATTAATGTGAGCCGGGCGTGCTCTGCTTCGGCAGCACATGAGGAGAGCCACGTGGCCACTTAATAACTATGTTATAGCTTTTCTTTTTTGTTTAAAATGGCTGACCTTAACCAGAATCATTATAGCCAAAGTTACAATCCTGATGGGTGAATACGAATTTTGGCGCTGTAAAAATCCTTGATGCTGAAAGCGAAAGCTAGTTGCCGTGACTACCGTTTCTCTTGGTCTTCTACATGGAAGATGAAGAGCAACTTCTGCTGAAAAAGTAGAAGAACATTAGTCATGGCAACAAGCTTTCGGTTTCCAGAAAAAAAAATTTAATCTTCATTTTACATTTATAAATTTCAATGTATTATGTGTAACAAATCTTTAGAAGCGTGGGAAGCGTGTGGGTGGTTCGTAATTGTTAAGGTGGTTCTGTTTGTGACCAACAGGACGAGCCCTACAGTGCCACCTCTTGGTCACAAACAGAACCATCCTAACAGTAATGACTTCATAGAGGAATAAAGCCCCCCTCGCCCAAGAGTCAACCTCTACTTCGCGGAAATTCACCTCTCGTGGGGGATCATGGAACATATCACCTGCGAAAAGTGAGGGAACACTACTTGGTTGTGAAAAATTCTTCATTTGATGGATAAGACCCTACTATTTGTATACAATCACTTAATTGCCATAATAGGTTCCATTTAAGTTATTGAGGAGAAGATGTGAGTCAGGATGAGGGAAAATTATATGACCCTTCAAAGAGACATTTTGGGAACCACCACATTGTCCATGCATACGTTTTTGGACTATGGGAGGAAACAGAACCCAACCAAACATCCCGGCAGTCCTGAAGACACAACCCAAAGAACTTCCTGCTATGTGGCAACAGTGGTGTCCCCCATCACCCGCAACTGTATCCTTGAGTACTCCTACTGCAGAACATGACACTGATCCTGAAAGAGTTCAGACAGAGGGGACGGGGATCTGTTGCACAGAGGTGCTCTCAAAGTCCTGCAAGGTGTCCTGGTGAGTGTGGTAGTGCATGGCCACGTAGGACTTGGCGAAGGCAAACGTCTGCAAGCCGGCAGGCTGAAGGCTGGTGGGCGAGCTGGGTCCAGCAGATGGACTGCTGTTGTATATACTGTAGTAGGGCTCGATGCGCGTGTTGATGGGCGTGGATGTGCTGGCGGGGCGAGGTCTCCGTGCACCCTTGGGACTGGCAGCGCACTCTCTGGAGTGACTCGGCCCGCATGCCTGGTCCACTAGCCTCCTCTGCGCCTTGGGCGAGAGAACGTACGCCGAGTTGGTCTCGTGGTGGGAGGATTTATTCCGATTGACTTCCAGACTGCCCTTGCCCATGGCGTGCAAGCGAGTCTTGTGCTTGCAGCATAGCAGTCCCAGTGCGGCCCAATGCATGCAGCAGAGCACGCGGCGGCGTAGGCCGGCACTGTTACGTGAATACACGAAGGGATTGATGCCCGACTTGAGGAAAATGAGGACGACGCCGCACAGTTCAAACTGGTAGTGTGCGAAGGTGCTCTCTGGCGACAAAACGTCCTGCGCCAAGGAGATCCCCATCGGCAGGCAGCACAGCAGCACTGAGAACACGATGATGACACAGGTGACAACAGCTTTGGAGTCCTTGGCGGTGGCCAAGTTGACCGTGGAGACCAGCTGGCAGCAGGTCGCTCCCTGGGCTGCCCCCGGGACCACTGGTTGCTTGGTCCTAGTGGCGTAAGAATGCGTCTGAACATTTTGTAACTTATTATACATCTGATTACGGTACAAGGGGGCCTGAGCGCTACACTGCATCCCCTCAAAGCCTGTGGCTGCCAAAGGTGGCGGCGGTGGAGTGCACGTGGCTGCCACAGTGATAATGGGACACTTCCTCACTTGTGCGTTCTTCCTCAGGGTCTGGGCGATCATTAGATAGGACACTGACACGACAGCCACGCAGAAAGCAAAGTCAGCAAGATACGCGTACAGCACCAACCTGGCCCGCCCCCCTCCTAGACCAAAATGGGGCAAGCAAGGTCCATCCCTGCGTGGGTACGCCCGCATGATGAGCAGGGCCGCCATGGTGAAGCTGGACGTCCATAGCAGGGCTGTGAGGGTCAGGGTGCAGGGGAATGAGGCGGTGCGGTTGGGCTGTTGGCCCAGGACCATCCGCAGCCGGTGCAGAGCGATGACCGCCACCGTCTCCAGCGACATGATGATGAAACCAGAGCCGGTCAGGTGAAAGGCGAAGCAGAAGCTCTTGGACATGCCGTCCACGCCGCCCGCATCCAGGTAAAGCACCAACGCGAACATTGGGGCCGTCACACAGCAAATAAACAAATCACAGAAGGACAGGTTGAGGATCATGAAATCGAAGTTGGTGCGAAACTTGCGGAAGGCCGGGTCAAAGAAGGACAAGAAAACCACCAGGTTCCCATAGGAACCAAGGCAGAAGATGAAAACGAGGAGGAGGGAGCAAAAGGTCAAGGTTGCAGTGTGGACGGCAGCCCAAACTGGGGGGCTGTGTGATGGCTGGGTGCCATTTAAGTTCACTTGCTTGGGCACATCAGCCAGCTCTGACGGCGACTCTGTGCTGTTCATCATATCATTAGCCGCCCACCGCTAAAGAACCAACCATTAGTCCTCTGAAAAGGAGGACGCAGGCGTCACCATTGCTGCATCCTAAAAGAAAAAAATAACGCATGATGATTGCTAGCTAAAAATCTCACAACTTGCTGATTAGTGCAACAATGAAATACGATGCGCACGCGCGCACATACACAGACATGTCAAAATACTATATATTTTTTTTTACATTTTTCTTGATAGCTCAAATATGTCATGTACAAAACTTACCGTTTTTACACAAGCCTTCGCAGGTCATAATTATTTAACACAGCCCATCTTCGTTTTTTAAAGCAGCTCTGTGGTACGTGAACGGACCGCAGCTCCGAAGGCGAAAAAAAAAATCTCAATTTAAACGCCATTTGGAGACGCGAACATTAACGGCATCATCTCGTCGTCTTCGTTGCAATTTGAGACGTGCGCGTGCCCGAGCAAATTCTTGATACCCTATTTGTTTGTTGTGCATCTGTTGCGGTGGGATTTCTTGTCTTCTTTGCGATGTATCCAATCTTTTTACCCGGGAGCCACCACTGGACGTGCCCTGGTTAAAAAAAAAAAAAAAATCGAGACTGAAGTCACAGCGACGCCAGCGAACAACAGAGCATCAAGCACTGCATTCAACTAGTGCATTGAACAATATATTAATGCTGAATTTTCGTTGTATTCATTTCGAAATGTGGTTATTTTGGCGTTCATTTGCAGTGTCGAAACACACTGCATCAAAGGTTTATGTTTTTGTGTTTTCTCCTGTCTTCATTATTCATTTATTGTTTGTTGTTGTATGAATTGTTTTTGCTCCATGTACAGCGCTTTGTATACAATGGTGGGTATTTTAAAGTGCTCTATAAATGCAGTATAAATGTTTTGTTACCGAAGTAACCCTTATATACAATATTGCAAGTAATTGAAATCATCTATATACAAACTGACTTCATTTAGGCTTGGCTTAAATTAACCCAAAATGTTGTTCTGTGATCATGCATTCTCTTCCCTCAAATAAATAATTTACTCTCAAACAAGCGGTTGCAAAACATGGTGTTATCTTCATTTATTATATTGTCTCGGCATTCATTTTCTACGCCACTTGTCCTCACTGGGGCCGATCTTAGCCCCTGAACTGGCACATGACTAAGAACCAGTGACATTCACATTAGCATTGATGGCCAATTTGGGGTCTCAGTTGGCCCAAGACCCATGTGTGAGGAAGCTAGAGAATATAGCCAGGGAAAATCTACACAAACATGGGAAGAACATGCAAAATCCACATAGGACACAGGTGTGCTAACCACAATGCCTGCATGCTACCTTGTTTTATAATTCATATTCAAGACATATAGATTCAGATATATTTTATGAACAATTTATTCATACATGATATCATACAATAGGCAAACTACATCTACAAAAAAAGGTCACTGCAATTTTGGCACTACACTATACAAAGGTGAGGTACTAAATGCTTCAATGTTAGGACTCATTTCAAGTCATCAAGCGGAAACAAACTGAGCAAAACAATCCAGCAAGTTCTGGAAGGTGCAGGGGGGTGGGTGGTGGTGGGAGGTCAATCATTATTTGAAATTAAGGTTTAGTGGATAGCGTTTTACACTGGGGAACCCTGAAAAGTGTTCGGGTTTTCACAAAACAAACATGACAGCACCGCATCGGGGAGTCCACCCTCTCCCATGACTTTGCAAGAGTAGATAAAAATAGGCTCTCGTGCTTTCTACAAAAACAAAACAAAAAAACACCCACCTACTACATCTGCTGAAACACTTGCTAGGGAAAAAAATGAATGCAGCACTTCCTTAATTTATAAATAAATAAATATGTCTGCACATCGTAGCTAAAGCATGACGCGCGCACACGCACGTGCACACACACGCATGATCAAATAGCCACACAAATCTTGTGTTAGTCTAATTCAAAAAGTTCCGTTGGCAACTTTCTGCAGGTCAAAACACACACTCCACTTGAGGAAGATGATAATTAAAGAGCATGTTCTACACCGGGGACATCGCGTTGGCTCAGAGTTGATTCTTGGGATGTGATCCTGAGAAATTTATCCGACACGCCACACGTTTTCAAGCGTGCACACTCGCGATCAAACAACCAAAAAAAAAAAAACCAAACAAAAAACTGTACAGAAATGTTACACCCTGCAGGTCATTCATCCCTGCCATGATTGATCCTTAAATATTAAGTATAGAAGAAATGTAAATGAGCTACATAGATAATACAAAACATTTCACACAGTTTTGTGTGCCACTTCCCGGTGTCAAGTAACTGCAGCCACGTCCTCAATGCAGGCTGGCCTGGACGTAGAGTCTGGGAGAATCCAAGCAAAACAGAAGGGAAAAAAAAAAAAAAAAAACCTCAAAGTCTTGTCATTCATCTTTTGTCCAAATAGTAGAAGTGCCTTGCTTTTGGTGTTATTTATTTATTTTTTTTGAACACTTTACCAGGTTTTAGGCATAGTAGCACGGCGACACCAGGAGGTCTGTAAGCACCAACAACTGGTCATCTGTGAACTGCTGCTTATGCTGTTGCCAGTTGTCGTGATGCGTCCTCCGAAAGTTGGACAGGGTTTTCTTCACAGTCATCTAAAGGAAAACATATCCAGGTTGCAAGATTGCAGCTTATTTACTAGCGTGAAAGGGTAAGCTTACAAGACGCACTTCAATGGGTTGGGTATCATTGAGGTGGGCACTGAGGTCCATTAATAACTGGGGCATCCAGGTGGGCACGTCATATGGGCTGGAGAGAATGCAAGCACTCAGCCCGAGAACACCAGCATGACGCCGTACCAGGTCTGTGAAAACATAAAAATGAACTTCATCGTGAGCAGGTGTAAAAGGGCCAGTAAAAAAAAAAAAAGGAAATACATACTGTACTGCATTATAATTACACAAAATCTATTAAATAATACCGGACATGTTCTTTTACTATATCCTCTATTATCAAAAGGTGGAAGAAAAAATTTAACGCGTTCCCCTAGTTCAATACTGAATGTGGCACAGCCTCTTTGATGTTTCTCTTGACTTACCTCCAGAAGGTATAGTGTCCACTAGTGAACCAACACCCCTCTTTCTCTTTTTAGGCAGGCGGGTCTTGCAAAGAGCCTCAAAGTGAGCCTGCATGGGGGCGTCCATGCACAAGAAATTGCACTGGAGGAAGCCACTGAGTGTGGTGGCAGCCATTTCTCTTACCTGCAGAGAATGTAGATCGGGGTGGGAGGGGCAACATTAGGTACACTTGCACAATCTAATAACATCTGAAACAAGATGGCTGCATGGATACTTCATTCACCTGGAATAAGACATTCAATAATAATAGTGAGTTTTGCCAGTGTGTTTACATGCTCAAGCTTTATCCTATACACTTTAGTATTAACACAGCAAGGCTCATGCTATTGGTAAATCTTAAATCAGTCACGGAGATAGATTCAAGATATATGCAGTATCGATCACCAATAATTATTTGGATCAGCTAACCTCAGCAAGGCCATTTAACTCTTCAGCAGTTTAATGTATAATGTATAGGCCTAACAAAATGACTTCCAGCTATCCCCCACTCTTTGTCTCTACTCCATCCCTCTCTTCCTCTTTCAATCTGAAAGTTATCTCCATAGCAACAGATTACTGCAGCCTGTGGTTACCATAGCAACACTTAGAGGACCGGAGGGAGAGGTGTGGGGGGTATGCGAGTGGAGAGCCAGGAGGTGAATACTGAATCACTACAGTGGAGCTAAAAGATGCCAAGAGGCCACCAGCACCAACAAGCATGTATTTATTGTAATGTCCAGACTGACAGTTTTATTATGGTGGACTCACATGAAGCAATGTTTTTTTGGTTTATATTTGAACTAGTTTTGTGGATGCATGCTTCGTTTTTACCTCCAGCTGCTCGTCCTCCAGCAGTCTTATAACCAGCGCCCGCACGTCATCCACTGCTTTCGGGTCACTCATGAAGGTGAACAGGTTATAAAAGGCCATGATCTGCAGGTATGTCAGCACCGTATAGCGAGCGTGCCAGGAGCTGCTCCCTGCAATCTGCCAACACGTGCCAGCATCATCACATGTCAATAATGGAACACAATGGACAATTTAGGTGGTGTGTGTGTGTGTGTGTGTGTGTGTGTATAGGAGAGAGAGAGAGAGAGAGAGAGAGAGAGAGAGAGAGAGAGAGAGAGAGAGAGAGAGAGAGAGACATACACATCCATACACATTTGTGCATATATGACAGAGAGCTGCATTCATACAGGACATTATCCAATATCATACTTTTCAATCCTGCACTGGGTGTCATTCCTCAATTAACTTCTGGGTCACTTGTCCGCTTTTTATTTCACGTCAAATACATGTCCCCCCTCCCGCCCCCCAGGATCCAGGTATCTGTAGATCCCTTTACTATAGCCATGTTACTTACCATTCAGGGCGAAATATGTTATGCATTTCAAGTGTCCAAGAGAGTTAATAGCCCAAAAGTCAGATTCATAGTTAGAGATGTAGTCAAGTATTTCCAACACTGTAAATTGGTTAATAAAGGATAAAAATAATGTCTTCACCTTTGGACACATTGACCACATTTGGACATACATAGTTTCCACCTGACAGCTACAATTTGTAAAAATAAAGGCCTCCTCTTAAATATACATCTCTATAGTAGAACGAATATACTACTTTCATTCACTGAATGAACTGTGCTCATTATTGAAAAAAAATAATAATGTACAGTAAATCTGAAAAATCTACTTAAGTCCACTATTGTTCTACCTCTTGCAGGGCATTAAGCACCATGGGAATCTGCTCGGTGTAGAGGAGCCCCTGGGACATGAGAGACAAGCAGGTCTTTGCATCCCTCTTCAGCTCATCATAACTATCATCATTCTCTACTGGAGCAATCTGGAACCACACAAAGAGATGCCAGAATTGATCGTCTTGAATCAATTTAAGTATGTATCGTGTAAAAGTGAAGGAGCTACCTTGAAGAGGAGAGGGAGCAAGCGTAGGTGCTCCGGGACAGCGGTAGAGTAAGAGCGGCCCGCACTTGCAATCAGCCACTTCAACACTGCAAACATGTTAATGAGGAGAATGTTATGAAATGTAAATAGCTTTAGATGAGTCACTCATTGTTAACTCACCTGTTTTGAGAAGTTTGATCGCTTGTGTTCTCTCATCCTGCTCCCCCACTTCATTCTCCTCAACCACGTGATTTTGGATCTCATCATCACCCTCAGTCAGTGGCTTTAGCTGTAACAAAATTCTGTCGGTGAAGTCCGAGATGCGAGGCGAGGTGGTTGGCTGAGTGTAAGGCAGGTTGACATCTATCATGAAGATGTAGGTCAGTACGCTGGAGGGAGGGAAAAGAAAATGCACCATTAATTCACCATTTACAAGGTCAAATCCAAGTTCCAAGGTGAGATCACACAGTAAATATTTAATCTTACTGTCAGAAGAATTATTTTGTGTTACAGGTAATCATCAAATTGGGGGGGAAGGGATGAGGGTGAAGGGGTCGTGGGTCAAAATTGTATTTTGGGGGATTTTTTTTTCTTTTTTTGTGATATTGCCTGAAGAAAACCTGCTCAAAAAAC